GATGCATCCCTATGAGTTAAGAAATCAAGCAAAGGGGGCAGGAGACCTGCATGGATGAGCAAGGAGCTTCTGGCAAAACTCAAATGGAAGAAGGAATTTTATGGAATGTGGAAAAAGGGACAGGCCACTTGTGAGGAAAATGGGAACGTTGTCAGAGTATGCAGGGATGCGGTGAGGAAGGCTAACGTCCACTTGGAATTAAATTTGGCAAGGGTTGTCAAGGACAACAAGAAGGGCTTCTTCAAGTACATCAATAGTAAAAGAAAGACTAGGAAAAATGTGGGCCCACTGCTGAGTGAGGTGGGTGCCCTGATGATGGAGGATACAGAAAAGGCAGAGTTACTGAATGCCTGCCTTGCTTCAGTCTTTACTGCTAAGGCTGTCCCTCAGGAATCTCAGACCCTGGAGGTAGGAGAAAAAGTCTAGAGAAAGGAAGACTTTCCCTTGGTCAAGGAGGATTGGGTTAGAGATCATTTACGCAAACTGGACACCCACAAATCCATGGGTCCCAACAGGATGTACCCGTGAATACTGAGGGAGCTGGCAGATGTTATTGCTGAACCACTCTCCATCATCTTTGAAAGGTCCTGGGGAACAGGAGAGGTGCCTGAGGACTGGAAGATAGCCAATGTCACTCCAATCTTCCAAAAGGGCAAGAAGGAGGACCCAGGAAACTACAGGCCAGTCAGCCTCACCTCCATCCCTGGAAAGGTGATGGATGGAACAGCTCATTCTGGATATCATCTCTAAGCATGTGGCGGAAAAGAAGGTGATCAGGAGTACTCAATATGGATTCACCAAGGGGAAATCAAGCTTGACCAACCTGATAGCCTTCTATAATGGCATGACTGGCTGGGTAGATGAGGGGAGAGCAATGGATGTTGTTTACCTTGACTTCAGCAAGGCTTTTGACACTGTCTCTTATAACATCCTTATAGGTAAGCTCAGGAAGTGTGGGATGAGTGGACAGTGAGATGGATTGAGAACTGGCTGAATGGCAGAGCTCAGAGGGTTGTGATTGGTGGTGCAGAGTCTAGTTGGAGGCCTGTAGCTAGCGGGGTTCCCTAGGGGTCAGTACTGGGTCCAGTCTTGTTCAACTTGAATATCAGTGACCTGGGTGAAGGGACAGAGTGTACCCTCAGCAAGTTCTCTGATGATACAAAACTGGGAGGAGTGGCTGATACACCAGAAGTCTGTGTTGCCATTCAGACAGGCTGGAGAGTTGGGCAGAGGGGACTCTGATAAAATTCAGCAAAGGCAAATGTCAGGTCCTGCACCTAGGGCTGAATAACCCCAAGCTCCAGTACAGGTTAGGGGCTGACCTGCTGGAAAGCAGCTCTGCGGAGAGGGACCTGGGAGTCCTGGTGCACAAATTAGCCATGAGCCAGCAGTGTGCCCCTGTGGCCGAGAAGTCCAGTGGTATCCTGGGGTGCATTAGGAAGAGTGTGGCCAGCAGGTTATCCTCCCCTCTACTCTGCCATGGTGAGGCCACATCTGGAGTACTGTGTCCAGTTCTGGGAAAATTCAGCAAAGGCAAATGTCAGGTCCTGCACCTAGGGCTGAATAACCCCAAGCTCCAGTACAGGTTAGGGGCTGACCTGCTGGAAAGCAGCTCTGCGGAGAGGGACCTGGGAGTCCTGGTGCACAAATTAGCCATGAGCCAGCAGTGTGCCCCTGTGGCCGAGAAGTCCAGTGGTATCCTGGGGTGCATTAGGAAGAGTGTGGCCAGCAGGTTATCCTCCCCTCTACTCTGCCATGGTGAGGCCACATCTGGAGTACTGTGTCCAGTTCTGGGCTCCCCAGTTCAAGAAAGACAAGGAACTGCTGGAGAGAGTCCAGCAGAGAGCTACGGAGACGACTGGGGGACAGGGGCATCTCTCTTCTGAGGAAAGGCTGAGAGAGCTGGGCTTGTTTAGCCTGGAGGAGGCTGAGAGGGGATCTTATCAATGCTTACAAATGTCTTAAAGGCAGGTGTCAGGAGGATGGGGCCAGACTCTTCTCAGTGGTGCCCAGCGACAGGACAAGGGGCAATGGGCACAAACTGAAACACAGGAAGTTCCATCTGAGTATGAGGAAAAACTTCTTTATTTTGAGGGTGACAGGCTGCCCAGCAGGGTTGTAGAGTCTCCTCTGGAGATATTCAGAACCCACCTGGGCATGATCCTGTGCAACCTGCTCTAGGTCAGCCTGCTTTAGCAGGGGGCTAGGACTAGATGATCTCCAGAGGTCCCTTTCAACCCCTGCCATTCTGTGGTTTTGTGATAAGTTTCATGTTATCATTTTAGAGCAATGGTTGAATCAGTGCCCTCATTCAGTGTGGGGACTGCTGGGATCTGCAGAGCAGCATCAAGCTGTAGCCTCTCCCATCCTTTTGCCCTCCCATGCATGCAGCACCATCCTTCCCGGGGCACTGCTCTGCAGACCTGGATGGGGTCCTGTTCAGTGCAAGGGTCAGCGAGTGCGCATGTGGGATTTGCTATAACACTGCTATCCCCTTGGGGCAGAAACAGGGGTGTCACTAGTGTTACCAGTGCCAGGGCACCAGTAGGCCTTAATAGCCCTGACCAGCCTCACTTGGGACCCTTACCCCCCACACCCCGTGTGCCACGTACCCCCTGCTCATCACTCCATTCAAGATCTGGCTTAAGCCTTCAGTCCTCCTTCGTGAAGCTGCCCTCCTGTTGCTGCTGCCTGACAAGTGTCTCCCCATCAACCTGATCTTTTCCTCACTGAGGTACTCCACCCCCCTTGCATGGGTTTAAACGGCAAAATTTGAGAGGAAGAATTTTGCTCCCCCTCCCTTGCCCAGTGCTGGCAGCGCT